GGAACAAAATCCTCAGGGACCTATGTAAATGTATTCATGATTGTGGTATCACAACCACAGTGAATTCAAAACCGTGTTTTTGCAGCTTAGTTTCCATATATGGGCTGTATGGACTGGGAAGTGACTGGTACATTTTGAAACTTTACATTGTTTAGATATCATCAGTATACATAAATCAATACCTCTTTTATTTAATAAAAAAGATATTGGCCATTTAAGAGCCTGTTCCTGAGGCACAGAACTTGGTTTTAGTCTAGCAAACCATAAACATGCTGTTTTTCAACACTATGTGGAAACCGTGTTAACTAAATGGACAGTGGAGCTCAAAACCGGACTCTCCAGCCCAAAACTCAATACCCGGGACACATACCCTGCTGAGAAAAATCACAGAAAACACTAAAAGTTTCTGCTGGTTCCTGGTGGTGTCCAATAGTCAGTCATTGTATTTAGTGTTTTCCTGATGGGCTGATTTCACAGTGTGAAGGACTCTAATAGTTTAACAGGTGTTCTGGGACTGATTCCAGATGCATTTGATGGTTTCCTAAAAGAATCTGAAAGTGTCCTACAAGAAACTAGAGGTCTGTAATGGTAACCATTAAGCCATTTCCCATTAGAAGGCCTGTTAGGTTTTAATCCTAATGGTTTCTATAGGTCTTTTTCAGCAGCTAGTTAGTATAACTAGCTAGTTAACTATTGCTAACCACCTAGGCTACAGCTCTAGTCTTTTAAATCCACACATAGATAACAGAAGATAACAAGCTGAGAGTGTCTTACACACACACACACACACACACACACACACACACACACATATACACTCCTCACTCCACTTAAATCTGTGATCAGTAGTAGGATAAATCACTCCACTCACACCCGGTTTATACTCACAAACATGTTTGGACTTGCCACCCACTGCACAAGAGGTTGTGCTCTCTCTCTGCCTCTCTCTCTCTCTCTCTCTCTCTCTCTCTCCTATGCATCAAATCTCTGGATGAAAAATAATCTATTAAAAGAAAATAAGACTAAGAAGCGTGTCCATTAATTAACCTCTATAAAACTCAAATTGCTGTAGCAAAAAGGCCTCCATGGTTCCAGTACCACAAACTCCACTCAGCCTTGTGCCAAAAAGACTCCATCTATAATTAATTGTTTTTTGTTGACCAGAGTTTAGTTACCAGTAAGCAGAGGTGATGTCAGTGGAGAGCAATTCAGAACAGTGAATCTCTGACCCTCCCTTCCCCATTAAGTCCGAGTGAGAGTCTCCATTTATCCTCTTCCAAATCAAGTGTTTTGAACACAGCGTTGCTCTGTTAGACGTGCACAGCCGGATTTAACCTGCTGTAATTAGAAGATATTGACGCGTACACTACATTTCTGTAAACGAACTCCTCACCAGAGTTTCTTCTGAAATCAAGGGTATTAATAGGGTTTTTGCCCCCCTTTGGTGCAGTAACAGTCTATACTCTTCTGTGAGGTATTTACACTAGACATTGGAAAATTGCTGTGAGGATTTGATTGCATTAGGCTACAAGAGCATTAGTGAGATTAGTTGCTGATGTTGGATGATCAGTTCTAGATCACAACTCATCCCAAAGGTATTGGATGGAGCTCCAACACTCAAGAGAATGCACTTCGACTGCTCCACAGCCCAGTGCTGGGGGGCTTTATACATTTCAACATTGGACATGGTGACCTTAGGCTTATGTGTGGGTGATCCAGAGTGTCCCATAGGTGCACCTTGAAATAGCCGGACAATTGAAATAGTCTGGATACTTTTGAACACACAGTAAATCTACCACATACAGACTTACATACTGAACACCTTAGTGTCTCAACAACACATTACAAAACAGAGATTGTGTGAACATCCCAGATGACTTTAAGACCCACAGGCCAGCCATCTTGAGATCTATGAAAGTATAAGGGTTGTTTTCTGTACTAATTAACTGATTACTTTGCTTCTCGTACTCTTTCGGAGCCAACAACTGACCTTTCAGACCTCTAGGTCATCTACCTGCCAAGGCCTGCTACCAGTGGTTGGGCAGAAGAGCCTAAAACTGCCCTCATGTAAAAGGATGTTTCAGTGAAAACTCCTCCAATACTAAGTTCTCTATAAACTGCAATAGAACTTCTTAGTGCATCCAGCATATCCAGCTGAACTGAAGTGTGTAAGGCTCTATTTGTCTCTTTTTAGTCTAAAATGAAAGACTAAAGCTCCAAAGTGAGAATTGTAAGCAATTGCAAAGTAGTCCATGAGCTGACCTACTTTCTTCAAGGGTTCTTTAGTAAAGACAGTGGTTCTATATAGAACCGTGAACACTCAAGAACCTTTTGTATGCTTAAATAATTCTTTGCATGGTGAAATCGTTCTTCAGATTGACAGAAAATGTGTTGTATTTGGTGCTATATAGAACATTATTGAAAAGGGATCTATATAGTACCCAAAAGGATTCTCCTGTTGTCATGATGTCAAGCTTGTACACTCTTAAAAACATGGTTCTTCAAGGGTTCTTTAGTCAACAATAAGTTCTGTATGTAACCATGAATGCTCAGAAACCCCTTTGCATGATTAAAGGGTTCTTTGCATCACAAAAGCGTTCTTCAAATTGATGGAAAATGTGCTTTAGATGGTTCTGTATAAAACCTTTTTGAAAATGGTTCTATATAGCACCTAGAAGGGTTCCTCTATTGTTACAATGTCAAGGTTGTAACGCATTTGGGTGCTATATAGAACCATTTTCAAAAAGGTTTTTATCAGTCTGAAGAACCCTTTCATGATGCAAAGAATCCTTTAATCATGCAAAGGGTTCTCTGAGTGTTCATGGTTCTACATAGAACCATTTCCTTTACTAAAGAACCCTTGAAGAACCATCTTTTTAGGAGTGTAGGAGAACTATTCAAATTTCAATCAAAACTGTATTGTTATACATGGCATTAAGGAAATGAAACTAGTTACTACTCACTCCTGTCTAGACAACAGCTCCCCTTGGTGGTAGATGGCTCACTAGGCTAGGCTCAATATGACATGCTTATAAATATGCTAGCTGATGCCTAAGACATTATTTTGTGAGTTTTAGATGGGATAGTTTTGAGTTTCTGGCCTAAAATGTATGTTTTTTAATTAATTCACAGTTTGGATGTTCATGCAGGGCATTTGTACCTAAATAAAACACATATTCTTCAGATTTACAAGTATTTTACCACCGATGTTACGTATAAAACCTCAGAAGACACATGTGAGTTCACAGGCCATTTGGACAATAAATAAAATGGCTGTATTTGAGTCCCATCACACTGATTCTTACCACCTCCACTGTAAAGAAACCAGTCAGCTTTATTTTTTACAATCCACCGTTTCACACCAGACCACTCTTACTGGCTTTGTTTGCATCTCAAAGATTACATTATGCAGAAATTTAAAATTTTTTGATTACTCTTTCAATTACACCATTGAAGGAGTGTAAGAGTGCAGGGCTGGGGGGAGGGGGGTTATTCTGCAGTGAGGTGTTGATGGGCCTGTTATCATTCAGTGATGTCTTTCTCTGTTTTGCCACAGTCTGTATGTTAGGTGTGGATAAATCTCTGATTGTCTGGGTGGGGGGGTGGGGGGGGTTGCTATTGAAACTTAAACCTATGTGTTATCGCTGATGCTTTTGTAGTTTTCACCCAATCTTTCACTCACCTTTCATTCATCTACTGTGTACTCTGGCTTAATCTATCATTATATAACTCTAAAACTCTTTAACTCTGGCTTAATCTATAACTATATCCCCTTCACATATGGTCACTGTTTCACAGTACTGGAAAATGTGGCCTAGCTAGCTTGAATGCTGAAGTTCACTGGATTGTAAACTGTTACTTAAGTAAATTACAGAACATCTAAAGTCTTCCCTGCTAGAAAAAAAAAACAGTATAGATCAGCATGGTTGGTCATTAAAAAAACAGTATGTGTTGTGTTTTGGATGCTGGTATGCTGGTCAACCAGCATGACCCTGCTGAGTGACCAGCTAAACCAGCGTAAACCAGCACAAACCAGATCAGACCAGTATGGAATTTATACTGCTCTGTGCTGGTTTTTACAGCAGTGTTTATGTGGAAACTTGTGCATAAATCACAAATATTCATGTAGAGTTTTACATATAATGGAATCATTAAGTATAATGAGTGGCTGTAACATTCAATGCCGTAAATAAGAGACAAACATCTGCTAATAAGCATTTTTAAGCTCATATATGAATAGTTTGATTCCAAAACTCTGTTTGTAACATTTGTAATTTGCAATTTTGGATCTAAGAAGTTTTTGAGCAGACATATAATAACATTTATTTCTCTAATAAAGGTATTCATAATACTAATACTAATCATAATATTTACTTTTTAAAAAGATGGTTCTTCAAGGGTTCTTTAGCAAAGAAAGTGGTTCTAGAGCCATGAACACTCAAATAACCCTTTGCATGATGTGAGGGTTCTTTGCATCGCAAAAGAGTTCTTCGGATTGTTGGAGAATGTGTTCTATATAGCACCAAAATGGGTTTTTCTATTGTTACAATGTCAAGCTTGTACCGATAGAAGAACCATTTCACGATGCAGAGAATGCTTTAATCATGCACATGTTTCTTTGAGTGTTCACGGTTCTATATAGAACCTTTTTCATTACTAAAGAACCCTTGAAGAACCTTCTTTTTTATATATTTTATATATATAAGAAATATAAAAAAATCATTTTAAGCAAAGTATAGTTTATCTGTTATCTTTTTAAGTCCTCCACCCTGAACAAACCAACTTATATAGCCAAAAATAAACTAATAAAATAACAATAGTCAACCCCTCACACAAAACAGAAAAAATAGTTTTGCTATTTTCTTATATATATTTACAGAAAAGTCACGTTTTTTTCTTTAACTGACGTCAGCAGTTAATTTAGGCCATTGTTAAATATGAATAGCCCAGGGGGTCGAACGTGACACTGAAGCCCCTTATCCCCTTCATCCGGGAGCGGTTAAGATTGTGTGAATTGCTTAAATAGCTCAGAGCTCTTTAACGAGCAGACAGACAGATTTGAACTCTCATGTCGTACTAGGAGGACATTTTAACGGGGATTATTCAAAGAGTTTTCAGGAAACTAATTTGGATCGCACAGCCGGAGAGTCGCGTAGAGAAACAGCGGCGAAGAGAAGCTGCTTCCCGGAACCGAGTTACAGCTGGACTGTGTTTTCGTCGGACTGGATTTGTCCTCGTACGTCTTGCTAGCAAACAGGCTAGCAAAGTCCTAGCAAGCTTCTTTAAGGAAAAGACTAGAAAATAAGAAAGTTTACGACAAAAAATAGCATCTAAAAGCTTAGTTTGCTTTTTAAATAGTTAGGAGTTAACGCACCTGACTCTACAGCTGGGTAGGGGGCAGCTCGCTGTGTGTTTACTCGTGTTTGAAGGCTCTGCAGTTCACGACGTCGGTATTTCAGTAACGCTATCTGAGCGTTTCGGCGTTTCGGTAACGTTATTTGAGCGTTTCCGTGTTTCAGTAACGTTATTTGAGCGTTTCCGTGTTTCGGTAACGCTATTCGAGCCTTTCTAATGCAGAGACCTCATTTTCGACACCCTTATCCCGGACCGGGCCCGAGAGCGGGCGGGTTTCGCAGCCCTCCACAGGCTATGGAGAGGGGGCCCGGGATGCTCCCCTCGCCGCCTTGGGCTTTCTCAAACCCGCCTCCTCAATTCGGGCCCAGGTTCGGACCCTACGGCGGGTCTCCAAACACGCCGCCCAGGGACTTTAGTGGCGGCAGAGGCGGCGGTAACAGCAGTAACGGCAAACACAGCGGCAGGTCTCCCGCTCACACGCCGCGCAGGCCTAACAGTGGCGGCCGCGGCGGCACTCCGCACCGGCACTCGCCTTATTACCACCCCAGCCCGGGGCAGCACGGCGGGTCTTTTCAGGTAGACACATCGAGTCATGGCTCTTTCAGTAACCTTAGCTTAATGTGTTTGTGTTCAGGCCTACACTGAACATGTTTGCAGTTACAGACGCAAGTTTTTTTATTTGTAATGTTTTTGGCCTGAGCAGTGTCGTATGGAAGCCCATTCCCTCCAGGCAAAACTTCTCTTCTTCCTCTTTCTGACAGCAGCATGCAAAGAAAATCTGAAATTATTGGCTTATGTCGAAATAATGACTTAGTATCTCGTCCTAAACACTTATACTGAAATAATTTATTTTCTTGTAAATTAATCGTTCATTATTTCGACGTAGTTTCTCATTCCTTGAGAAAAAAAGTGACTGTCAGTAATTCAAGCATGATAATATTTCAAGGAAGGAATGCAAGTCGTTAATAAGTGGCACAAAGTCAGTATTTTGAGAAAATGAGTCTTTAATTTGATATATTAAAAAAATTAAGCTTGCGGAAACAAGTCTCAAATATTAAGTGAGTATTTTTAAACAGTCATTATTTTGATTTATATATATATATATATATATATATATATATATATATATATATATATATTCTGAGAAAAAAGTCGTTATTTCAAGAAAACAAGTAGTTCTAAAAAGTTGTATTTTGAGACATTGAGTGCTTTAAAAAGTCAGTATTTCAAGAAAAGTCACTTTTTATATACTAAGTCATAGGTTTGAGATACTAAGTCAATATTGAAATACTGCTGCTAGAAATAGTAAAAGGAAATAATAAAATAATTAAGAAAAAAAAATGTTCTTTTCTCTTTTCCCTGGTGGGAACAGGTTTCCATAGTGTCATGTGGAATAGCAGCCTCAGTTTGATTGTGATATCTTTTTTACATACCGATTGTCTCCTAAAGGGTTCGCCGCGGACATCCACACCATTTGGCAGGGAGAGAGGGGGAAATGATATGGACAAGTATTACAAACCGTCTATGCTTCAAGATCCGTGGGCTAATCTCCAGCCTATCTCAGTCACAGACACCCAGTCCAAATGCAGCACCCAGCAAGCCACAAACACAGGCAGGAAAGGGAGGTACTACAGCTCGAACTGAATCTGTTTTAAACTAGTCATGGCAGTGACAACACGTCCCAACTGGTTTTATTTAGCAGGACTAGCTCTGCCCCTCGCTGAAGTTTTGGGTCGAGGAGGGAGCTGTTGGTTCAGTTACAGTGGCAGAATGGACTCGGCAGTAGCAATAATTCTTGCAGAGCTGTTGCAGCTTTTTACATTTTATACAGTTTGTATACTGTGAGACTTTCTATTATACTTTTATATTTTACGTTCATTTTGACTCTGGGATTAAGACGACTGTTGCCGTAGATATTGGCAGCAATTAGTTGGACCCGACTCTCTGTTCTTCAGCTCCAGTGAAGTTTGGTCACCGATAGCGATGCTTCGGTGGGTGCCCGGGCAGTGTTAAAATGAGGTTTGGACATCTGTCTACCTCTGAATGAACACTATTCCCATATTGTACCAGCACTAGAGCAAGTTTTTTCTAGGCATTCTTTTTCAATTTTGTACATATTGAAAAATTTTTTATTTAGGTGGTATCTTTAATTTTATCTTGGATCTGTCAGCTTACTTTCTTGTTATAAACGGAAAAAAAAAATGTGGACTGATGTTTAACTATGTAAGCATGTGGCCAACAAAGGCCCATTATGAGCTGCTGTTGAGTTCAAAATTTGTAACAAAAAACATGCAAGATTGTTGGTTGGACTAATTGTTTCCTCTTTTTTACTTTACACACTCAGGATTTTCTAAATGTTTAAGTACCTCAGCCAAGTTACTCAAGTCCAAATGATACCACAGGTAGAAGGATAAAAAAAAATCTACTTGCTAAATAGATACATATTTGATAACACAAAAATGAGATGTTTTTAATACTTTTTTGTTCAGTGATCTGATTAGCAGACTGTCAGCAGATGTGGCATTGTCACCATTAAGTTGTTCCATATGTTTTAGTTATCTATTTGAATGTTTAAAAGTTGATCCCTGATTTATTGTTTATCCATCATAAATGTAACCTGTTATTATGGCAGTAATGTGAAACCAAAACCTATGGCTCTTTCTTGAAAATAACCTTGCTTTTTTATTATTGTAACTCTAGAAGTAGTGTCAGTTCCTTTAATCCAGAACATAAGTATATAGAGCAATGGGGGGATGGGATGAGGTGTAATGGACAGGTAAGTTCATCAAAAGAACTGGACAAATACATTAGAACAACTCCAACCACTGGAAGTATATTAAAATCTCTTGTATTTCTGTTTTCAGCTTCAAATTAGACATTTGATTTAATTAACAGAACAGAAAGTACCAAAAGGCCTCAGCTGAGTGTACTATTTCAGCATCATTAGCTAATGGCACTGCAATTGCAACAGCAACATTAGTAAATGGTCCCTCCTGCAATGTTTGGTTAAAGGTATACTTCACAAAAAAATAACATGGATGAAAGTTAGTAAAGATTAGTTAGCATGAACATTTTTTTTTCCATAATGCTGTCTGGCCATTTCAGATCAGTCAATCATCATTATTAGCAAAGGCGGCAATATGTGTGAAGTATTCCGACAAAGGAGCCAACAGATCTTGTTAAAAAATACATGGGGGAAATAAACACAGTGTTAAACAGCAGGCGATGAGGGAGCTGTAGACATGTACATTTAAGGGTTAATTACATTGTTTCAAATTTTGCTCAAATAGTGGAAAAAACATTGAACAAAGTGCCATTTTTCTAATAGTTGCCCATAACAACAACCTCTGGACATCGTAAATGCACAAGACTATGCTGAAGTGCTGTGATCATGTTTTGTTTGATTTTGCTTGCTTGTTCATTTGAACATTTTACAAACTTGAATCTTAAAGCCAGATAATCTTTTTTTTTATCATGTACAGCAGCTTGTAGAACAAATTTGATCTGAACTCCTGAGATAAAAATCTTAAAATTTGGAGTAGAACATACCAAAGATTGAAAACAGCCCTTTCCATAACAAGGAAAAAAGAAATCCTTCAATAATCTACTTTTAATAATGGAATTGTACTGTATGTAGCCCTCACACATTATAAAGATTTGACAAGTCTGAAAATATTAGCAGCTCAGCTAACTGAAGTGCAGTGTGACTAATGGTGATGAAATGTGACCACTGAAATTGAATAGAGTTAAGAAAAATAGAAGAATGATTAGGCCAAGGCCACCACGCACATCATAAATATTCAATAAAATAAGTTCTAAATCATTGAATTCAATCATACTATAATCTCAAAGTGTTTGCTTAGGATCAAAGCTTATGGTTAGACAGCCTATCAACAATTACATTGACAACCCTTATAGACTTCCTATTAGTAGGTTACACTACTGACCTGGATGTTTCAGTGTCATTCTGGTAACAGTCATTTGGTTGACTGGTATGTCTGCTGATTGATTTATAGCCAATGTGTGTTTGTTTTTAAGGCGCTTTCTAGAAAGTAAAGTTGAAGATTTGTAGTCTTCAAGCAAAAGGTTGACTTTAGAAAACAGTAGTGCGTCTACACTTTATGGCTTTTTTTCTTCACATAAAGTGGTAGTGCTTATAAGGTCCATCTCCTACAGCTGAGGGTCATATTCTTCCATGAATGTGCGCAGCTCCTTACAACTAAAGCTTTTAATTGGAAAGCCCAAACTAGTGAGCCATTGAGGAAATAACGTTTGTAAAGTTTGATTTCAATTTTTACTACTGTAAAAAAAATCTAACAGCATGATTCAGAGTGGTGTGATGTGAAATGTAAAGAAATGTACCAGTTTTCTTCAGTGGTGGTGATAGGAACCAGGGGCCATGATGATGTTTATGCAAATATAGCCATTTTGCATGCTCCTCCACACTATGAATAGATTTAAGGTTTTGGCCTAAAACATTTTTTATGTTCAAACTATCATAAAACAACATCTCTGCCATCAGGCAGCATATTTGAAACCATATCATGTAATAACTGTCTGCAAGGTAGATGCCTTTAGCTTCAGATGTCTGAACAATTCTGACTCTGTTTCTCTAAATGGAGCATTTCACATCAGACTACCCTGAATGACTTTAAATCCCAGCCATTAAATCATGCAGAAATGTTCAACAATTGGTAGAGATTTCCTTTAAAGCAAGCATGCCCAACTTTAGCACTTGAGGCCTGGACACTTGCAGAGTTTGGGATCTTTCCCTCTTAAATGAATCTTAGTCAATACATCAGTTAGTTTATTGGTTTATCAGGTGTGTTAGAGTAAGGAAATCACCAAATTGTGCTCAACTCTGGACCTCTGGGACTGGGATTCGGCAACTCTGATTATATTTAAGCAGTAAAAAGTGAAGGCACTCGTTTACTGAAGTTAAAACATCTACAGTACCATTTCTCAACCACTGGCTTACAACAAACTGAAACTTTGTTTGAAGACGTACTGCCAGTCTTTGGTATGTAGACATACGGAACACTGCAGGGGGTCTGTAGAGGAAGAAATGACTCAAGTTGACAGGAGAGGCTAATTTTAGCAGGACAACCGGATTTTTATGACTGTCTTCTTCCACTAGGGTGTGCCCATCACACAGATGCATGCTGGCCTGAAAAGCTGTGTAGTATTTGGATTCATGCTGGAGATTTGTCATGGAAGAATAAGGACCTCAGTCTTCTTGAAAACCAGAAATTACAATCATATGCAGCAGTACCACATTATATGGCCTATGTACAGTACATTTAAAGGTTGAAATGAAATGGCATTGTAGCAGTCTTCTGCTGCTTAAGAGGCATTCAGTCTTAGTCTTAAGCAGCTTCCTCGTTGAGAACTTCCAAGTTGTGGATATCTTTCTCTTAAGCAAACTTTAAGTATGTGTATACATACCTGTTTATGTCCCTTACTACCTTGCAAAAAGATGTAAATGAAACAAGATGCTGATTAGCCTTGAGGGAAACAAGTAGGAGGCAGAAAAAAGAAGAATCGGGAAGACTTGGCTTCACCATGTGCAGACACAGTCATTATAGAATGCAACATCTCTCTCGAATCCTTTTTGCCAAACTCTTTCTTTTCTTTTTCCCGTTCTTCTCTTTGCCATCCTCCATTTTCCTAGCTCTGATTTGTCGCATTAGGTTGAAAAACACCTGTAACAACCACAAAATTACATTTTTAGTGACACTCCCGAAAACGTCAGATGAATCTCTGGAGTTGTACCAATAAGAAATTCAGTGTTCATTTCTCACTGTTACCCAGTCAGGAACAAGTGATGCAGGAGGTCCGTTTGTCGTACATACCTTGTCCACGTTGGCACGTGTTTTGGCAGAGGTCTCCACGTAGCTGACTTCCCACTGATTGGCACGGGCATTGGCCTCCTCTACTCCCACCTGTCGCCGGTCTTCCAGATCTGACTTATTTCCAACCAGCAGGAAGGGCACGTTTTCATCCTCTTTAACCCGGAGGATCTGCTCTCTGAGAGACATAGACTATCTTGTAGAAGCAGTTTACCAAGAGTTCTTATAAGCCACCCGACAATCTGCATTTTTGTTCTGTTACAGCTTCAAACGCATCTGTGTCAAGTATCTGCTGCAGATTGACTGCCTCAGCTATGCTGGTGCCTGAAATATATCAGAAATGTTCCAGTGCTCCTTGAGAACTGGTCTTTTTTCTATCCTACATGAAGTCAGTACTAATTAGCCATTCAGTAACTTAGGCTACGTTTACACAGCAGGTAAAAGTGGCCCAAATCTGATTTTCTCACCAAATCTGTTTTTTTTTTGTTTGGCTGTTCACATTATCTTTTAAATGTGATCTGTATGCGACATCAGTCTGAACAGATCAGCTCCTAAACTAACCTGCATGCGCAAAAGAACAATACTTCACGTGGCGGCTTGTCCAGAGGTAAACAGTCATGACGGCCAGTGAACGCCAGTCACTCCCGGAGCTTTCAGTTTCGTCTTCGCCGGCATCACAGGAGCGAGTATAAAGTTCCAGTGGTTGACAGCTGGACTCATCACCCAGAAGTTTGGCGTAAAAAGGGCGCGTTATTTCGGCCACGGCCACTTCTTTGGTTCGTGTCCTCGGATTCTTTCAACTCTTGACGCTGCAGCCTCGGTCTCATCTGACCGCGTTCGGCTGTTTCGTTCGAAACCTCTTTAAACACGAAGCGGTTTAATGAGTCTCTTCTAAATTTTTAGTACAGAAACATCAGCCTAAATGTAAATTATGACAAATGTCGAGTTGAACTGATGTAAAAGTCTCATGAATTCCGATCTGGCTGTTCAGACTGAAGCGCATTGCCGCAGATCGGATACGTATCGGATTTCAGTACCACATATGAAAGCGTCTCAAATCAGAATTGAAAATGTCAGATTCAATGCGTTTTTTGCTGTTCACACTGACACACAGATGACACATCTGTGTCACATTTGAGGAAAAAGATCGGATTTGGGCCACTTTTACCTGCTGTGTAAACGTAGCCTTAGACTTGGACAAAAAAAATTCAAACTTCAGTGGTTTCAGAGAGGCAGTTTGTTTTGTTATTGTGTTGGGGTATGCCACATTTTTTCACAAATATTCAGTTTCAAAGTTTTTTCCAACCTGAAGTCAGCTGTTGCAGCAAAAGATTCTGATTCTGTGATGGAGAACACACAGAGGAATCCCTCTCCGCTGCGGAAGTAGTTGTCCCGAATGGCAGCATAGTCTTCCTGACCAGCTGTGTCCAATATGTCAATCTGGACCTCCTCTCCATCTAGAACTACTTTTTTTCTGTAGCTGTCAGCTTTAGTGGGCTCATAGTCCTCCACAAACTGAGAAAGGCAGAAAGAGGGTCCGGTTAGAGCACAGGTTCCCGACCCTGGTATTGGAGTACCCACTGCCCAGCACATTTTAGTGCTTTTCTTGTTCTAATACACAAACTATATTCGTTTATTAACTGATCACACCAAAATGTGCAGAGCAGAGTGTGCTCCAGGACCAGGGTTGGAAACACAGTGTGTATGCAGTTTTCTATGTAGGCACAAACAATGGCAACATACATCACCAGTATTTCAAACAATGTAAGCCTAGTATCACCCACAAAAGTCTTACCTCGTCATACATAAACTGCAGTGTAAGTGCAGATTTGCCCACTCCACCACTGCCCACCATGATCACTTTGTGTAGGGCCAGAGAGTTCTGTCCCTTGGGTTTGTTGGCCGCCATCTCTCCAAATCCAAGATGAAGGAAGTGAAAGGTAAAGTCAACCTGGGTAAGAAGAACCTTTTTATAAAAAAAAGAAAAAATAAATAAATGCACAAGCAATATTTCAGTCTATTATAACGAAACAAGTGAACAGTTCACATGAACACACATACATACAGGACAGGGACGCCCTGCTCCCACCCTGCTTGTGATGATGCGTCAGGCACTAAACAATAGAGCTACTCTGCAGAGCTAGAACTGAATTCATCTGTTCTCTTACACCCTGACAGTGACATCATGGCCTTACGGAACTAAAACTGAGAGAACGTGTCCATTTTATCAGTTCCACTATTGCTAATAATGAATAAAAGCCAGCAGGAGCAAGTACACACAGCAGACAATACGACAGCAGTTACCATCATCATGAAAATGTTAAACTGTCACAATATACTTTACTGAGCATATTGTGGATATTGTCCGTAAAGAACAACTGCCTGCGTCATTACAGAGAACATAATTAAGCATGTTTAACTGGATTTAGTGCGGTGCAACATGTAAAATGTTGAATAAAAAAAAAAGTGATGCATTATGTGTATTGGGAAATGTGTAAAACGTAAATATTATGCAAAAAAAAAAAAAGTGCTGTGATGTTTGGTTTTGGCCATATAGCTCACCCCTACTATAATATAGGAATCCTGTATGCAAAACCTTTGTTGATACTGCGATGAGATTCATGGTGTTTCATACAGTGAGTTAGAACCAAAATATTAATTAAAACTTACACAGGAAACAGCGTCAAGATTTTACATCCTTACAAAAGCCTAAAACAACGTGAGAGAACACATTCACTAGCATGAGATTCTGTGGATAAAATCTGCGTAATCACAGCAGCACAACCTGTTGTTTCAGTTTGCAGGGTGTATCTCAAAAGATAAATGCTAAGTAAACATCATTTCTGCCCTACTGTGGGTCCGACTTCCTATTGCTGCAGTGTCAACAGAGAAAAGAGTGGACATTTCAAATGAGTTGCTGGTGTTTGGGGGGTGTCAAGTGTCAGACATTTGCTTGTAAATGATGTTTACTGTTTGCATTAGTTAATTATGGATAAACAGATTTTAGGAAATGATGTAACTACTTATGATTCAACTTGACTAGTCTACTCGAGTCTAAAAAAAATAAATAAATAAATCAAAATGTACCTTTCCTATGAATCGGCAATGATTAGCTGTCAATTTGTATTTTGATAATGCACATTTTAAACTCTCCTTCTGACCTCTCTTACAGTTAGAATGGAATGTGAAGCACACACCCATCTGTATGCGTTATTTGCTTTTTTCCACATGGCGTTGTTATATTTAATCATTCTTATGCATTTAATGTGTTTTTTTAAAAGCTTTGACATGCGTGTCTCATCCAAACTCTAATCCCAGCAGGCCTTCAAAAAGCAACTTTATGCAATAAAAAGGAAACTGGAGAGTTACCATTTCTGCATTTCCTTTCAGCCATTGCGACCACCGTTTCAGCCCCTTCCCCAGTGCCATTTAGCTGGCTTCACTATTTTCCAAAATGCTGTCTGAATCGGTCTTCAGAAATAAAAGGCTGTATTCCGATGCATATTCCAGCTGTTCCATCATTTGTTATTGTACTCTGCTGCTGGAGGCTGTGTTCTGTGCATTGTGAAAGGTGAGCCCAACTGGAAACATCCTGCTGCGTCTTTTTCATTATAAAGACAGAATGTTTTGGGTTCAAGTTCTCAAAATGGGGCATGACTAACTATCCCAGAACACACAGTACTTGTATACCTTTATTTTATACATTAGGTATAGAAAAAACCCTTGAAAATGTGTAAAAAAATGACAGGTCTTTACAGGTAAACTTGAGAAGGATACTACAAAACTGCATTTCACTAAACTGACAGCATTTCCATGAATCAACCTAGTATTTTTATCTTTTTGCTTGCGCCCATTTCTACCTTAAAAAGTCATATTTAAGTCTTCATCTACTCCACAGAACCAAATCACTAAACAAACTACCAACAAGACTTGAATAGTGGCTGGTATCATAAGAAACTATCAAACAGAGCAGTTTTCGCTTTGACTTTTAAAAGTCACAGAGCCTGGCTTGTGTAAACCAGCCAGCCCCCTGTATGAGGAGTCAGTGTAATAGTGGAACACAATTTGTGTGTAAGTAGTACGGGTTGCACAAGCTAGTTGAATAGTCGACTTTACTGATCAGTGATGATGCTGTAAGCTTCACAGTGACTATTCGCTAATCAAGTGATTATGACTCTAACAACAGGGACTCCTCAGATTTCGGCCCATATCTCTGGTTTCCTGAAAGCTTGTTGGAATGGCCTCATCACGCTCTACTGACCTGTGGAGTTCGGCTTTGTTATAACATTTCTACGCAATCTACAATGCTTCAAAGATCACATAGTAAAAGTCAGTTATGGCGCTCTACATTTTTTTTTGCATTCTTCATTGCAGGCGAGCATCTTGGCAACACCTCCTAGGGTGCGCCCAAGTCGGATACAAATTTTTAATATTTCAGGGTCCACATCTCCGGTTCCCTGAAGGCTAGCAATGCGATCCAGGGCTTGTTGGAAAAGGCATGTCACACTCTGCTGACCTGTGGAGTTTGGCTTTATCCGGGATTTTTGAAGTTGCGTGCTGCAAAGCATTCCCTTCTCCTGTGGTTTTATTAATGATGTCATCAGCAATTAGTCAATGTCGACTTTCATCACATAACTGCTGACTTAAAAAAAATCTGAAGTCGTTCAACTCCTGACTCAACAGTTAACTTACACCGATCAGCCAAAATCTTACTACCACCTCCTTGTTTCTACACTTATCATTCATTTTATCAGCTCCATTTACCTTTTAGGTGCACTTTGCATTTCTGCAACTACAGACTGTTGTTTTTAAACACCTTAGTGTCACTGCTGGACTGAGTATAGTTCATCAACCAAAAAATGTTCAGCCAACAGTGTCCTGTGACCACTCATGAAGGACTGAAGGATGACCAACACAAACTCCAGAAACAGATGAGCTATTGTCTCTGTTATGTGGGCCAACAAGGTAGGAGTGTCTAATAAAGTGGGGAGTGAGTTTGAAAACCACTCGTACCACAACGTCAGTGTCATAACAGCGCTGAGAATGATCCACCACCCAAATAATACCTGCCTGTGATGGTCCTGACCATTGAAGAACAGGGTAAAAGGGGAATAAAGTATGCAGAGAAACAGTTGGAATACAGTCTGTAATTGTAGTGCACCTGTAGGGAAGGTGGAGCTGATGAAATGGACAATAAGTGCAGATACAAGGGGGTGGTTTCAATGTTATGGCTGACTGGGTATCTCTCTCTCCAATGTGGCTTAGAATACAATGAACTTAAAATTAGTCTTCCTGCACCAGTGTGGCTCTTTTCCATCACCACGAAAGCGTCCCCAGGGCCAGCCTGAGGTTAGTCAGGGTGTGGTAACGGATAAGCATCGCTCTGGTTCAAATGTAAAAGCACCACTTCTCTCAAAATCCTGCAAACACACACTAACTGACACCTGTTTCATTTCACACGCCCATTTAGCCACAGAAGTGCGCTGTCGTAAAGGAGAAAGGCTTCAAACCAGCTCGACTAACGTGTAAGCAAAATCAGCCGAACAGCTAAAGCTCCTCCACCGAGCCACTAACTAGCTTTACCTCACCGTCACGACTCCACAAGGATGGACAACCAGAAATTAGGTTCCACAACAAATGTTATGTTCTCTATAAAGCTGGCTAGGATACACTGAGCCGTCAAACAAGTCCAACACATTCAGAAACACATCGCTAACGAATAACAAAGGACCTAACTTTATGATTTCACTAGTTTAACAGACAGATTCGTGCTAGTTTCCACATTCTCGTAATAAACAAACCGACATTCATTCATAAAGTTAGTCCCAGCGTTAGCTCCAAGAATTACACGAAGCTGAAGTCAGCTTCTTGTTCGAATTTCCCCGTTCCACCTTAAACGGTGCAGCAGTTACATTCTGGCCCCCCAGGCACCACAGTGTAACTGCTGCACCATTTAAGGTGGAACGGGGAAATTGGAACCACGGGCTGGCGAATAGGAAGCCAACTTCAGACTTACCAAGTCAAGTCAAGCTGTGGTCGATGTCCAGGATTTGTTTTAATACCCGTGAATGAAATGAGAGTTTTATATGTAATATTAGCCAGGTAAGACAGCCCAGCAGTCCACGCGGAAATAAAACAAACGCTTAACGTTTAAAACAGCTGGCTAGTTTTAATTTAACGGTAGCTAAGCTAGCTAGGTTAGCTAAGCTAGCGAACTCCAGTTCACCAAACCTTATCTGAGTTACTAAGATGCTAAGCTAACACGATTCCGTTCGCGTTTGTCCTCTATTAGAAGTATGGCCACTCATAAAGTCGAGCTTTGAACTGTTCTAAATGATGTTTCGCCCCTCTTTTCTGCTCACTGACATACTAGCGGCAAGTTTGGCATCTTGTTTAGTAGCTGCCCTCTCGGGTGACGTCATGAGCTCATGACAAACAAATTGCCCCATCTGGTGATGTGGTGGGTCTCCTGGGGCTCTGAGACTGGCAGGGGAAGTTCCCAAAAAATCCTCCTTCAGCACTGCAAGGGAGCTCTGAAGTCATCAGGTGGACCCCCCAGAAAAACTCGAATTACAACGACTAAAAATGAAAAAATGGTGACAGATTCAGATCAGGGTCAGAAATCAGGGCCAGGCAGTTGTGTAAGGGCTTCATCACATGGCCTCCTCTTTGACAGTGTGCTGGTGTCATCTCTGATTCAAATTTGCATCATTTACCGTTTGTGATGAGGCTAATGCAAAGTCCCCAGACTGGATCTTGGTTCTATTTGGAATTGGAAACCCAGTTCCTTAGCCAACTCGAGATGATGAGAATTACGAAAACACTATATATTTGCAAATATTAATAAAAAAACACTGTCAAATTTGAAACTATAGAAATCTACACATACTCCACATGTAAAGTGACATTAATACTCATAGTTCACTATTATGGAATTCGTATGGAATGAATTCATATTAGACCACAATAAATTCAGTATCCATTATCACCAAATAGAGAAAAAAAGATTTTGATAACTCCAACTTCAGTTTGTTGTTCTCTGTTTCTGGCAGCGGCATCATGTCATGATTTTGAATAGTATCTGAAAATAATGAATTATTTCCTATTGACTTGTTATGTTGAAATAATTTTCTTGAAATGTATTAAATCAGTATTTCAATGTTTTGTGTTGGAATTTCATCTTAATAATGCCACATCTTGAAAAATGACTATTTTGTGATGCCAAGTTAAAATAATGAGGAAAACAAAGTCATTTGGAGATATTTGAGAAAAGAACTCATTTTGAGATACAAAATCAAAATTTTGAGAATACAATATACTAATTGAGGAATAATAATTGAGGAAATAGCTCAGAATTTTCAAGATATTAAGTCAACATTTTGAATAAACAGCTCATTATTTTGATATATGGGATATGGACATATTTGAGATATGGACCTTGTATATATCAAGTCCAAAGCTTGACCTACTCCTTCTGCTTCCAGTAACTTCTCTTAAAGCCACTTCATTCATTAATTCATTCAGACTCTTCTAAAAAGCCTAATATAGATTTGGGACACTTTGCTCTGCAGGATCCAGGAAGGCTGCTGAAGTAGCAGCGCCAATAATCACAGTCCCCTAGAATTTATACATTGATGCCCCTAAATGTCCTTTAATAATTATTACGTTTTTCACTTACTCGGGTTTTCACATATGCTCAGGTTTTAGAAATGTCTCTGAGTCAAACTATGCAATATTCAGGCGGAAGGGCAGATCAGTGTTTGATGGCAGGACATGAATGAGACCTCGAACCAGGTCTATACATTGAACTGCATAAGCAGTTGCTTAGGATGGCTTTAGCCACCAGGGGGCCTCCTGAGGTATGCTCTGCTTTAGTCAATATTGGCTGTAGGAAAAGCACAGCAAGTCCAGATATTTACCTGTTTCATCCTGATCAAAATTAGTGTTAATTCCTTTTTATTCTTGCAAGGAAAAGAATACGACTTGGGTGGGTGTGGAAATGTCACTCAGGGTCCCCAAATGTTCAGAATCAGCACTGCAAGCAGTATATTCTATACATATTTAGTAGCTTTGAGATTTTAAACCTTTGTTGTACATTCTAGATATTTCTGTGATTAATAATATAAAATACTACACAGCGATAACGATGGCCTCAAAGCTGAGAGCTGTGCAACAAAAAACCCCTTGAGAGTCTTAAATAATAATGAATAATCATCACTGCTGAACTGATATCATTAAAGTATTAAAGATTCATTAAAGATTAATAGCAATACAGCTGCAATAAACTGAGCAGAGACAAGCCGTCATAGTAGACATTTTTTGGATGTTTATTTAACTTTGCTTTCCTTGTACATAAGAAAAAGGTCCAACAGTACACATAGTGACTCAAATCCTCCATGTCCAAGCATACTGGTAGGACAAACAAAACTGAAAAAAAAAAGAAAAAATTAAATGAGGTTTTGTTGATAACAGGTAGCCACGGGATACAAAGAAAGTGTACAGTATCTGTGGTTCTGTTTGACACAATACATTGACATATATATGACATTTGGTGCATATTGACATCTGTGCTGGCCAGAGTTGAGGCACTGAGCTCATACAAAGAAAGATTACATACTGTAGGGGGTTTAACCAAAACGCAGCTCACGCTGTCTACATTAGCAGCCAGCTGTATGAATCATGTACAGCTGTAAGATAGTGCCTCTGCCAAGTGATTTGCTTTAAGCTTAGAATATAATGGGGCGTTGCATTTTCTGCATTTAAAGTGCCATTGCACGTTATTATGCTTGGTTCTATACCAGTGGGTCCAGACCTTGGTCCTGGAGAACCCCTGCTCTGCATATTTAGGTGTTTTTCCTACTTCCAAGACACCTACGGGTTTCACAAAGCCAGTAAGCCAGATAACTTAGGTCAAAAGTTGAGAATTGTCCAATAAGAATGTTTCTTTGCTGTTCTCCTATTAGACAAGCTTGCTTTTTGTCCGATCAGGGTAACTAAAAAAAATCTTGCTTTGTAAAATACCCCCCTGATTCAACTAATCGGCTCATTTACAAACCTTTTATGGGTTGAAGTGGGTATGTTAGCACAGGGAATATATGCAAGGCAGGAAGGTATTTCACAGAATTTCTCAGTTCTGCATTTTAATTTTTGTTCTCTCTGTTTGCAACATCTTTAACAAAGGAAATTACCATTTTGATGGGTTCCTTTTACTCAGTAAAAGAACAGAAAATATAAAACACCTTCATATGGGAATCTATTATAAACATGTTTTGAGTCAATGGGCTCAAAACATACAGAGAAACTGTCTGCTGTAATCAACCGACAGCTAAAAGTCAAGCCTGACCAATAGAAGCAGAGGCCAGGAACATTCTGATCGAACAACCTTCAACGTTTGGTTTATGGCATCCAGCTGACTGAAATACACTGCTTTGTGAAAGGGGTTCTCCAGGGCCACTATTGGGAACCATCGTTTTAAACCAGTGGTCACCAACCCTCCACTTTCCTGCAGAGTTTTGTTTCCAACTTGCGTCCAACATGCTGCCCTGCCTCCCCCCTCACCTAACATTGATGCATCTGATCCAGCCAATCAAGAACTTCTTTAAAAGGTCATTAGCTAGAGCAGGTGTTTCAATCAAGGTTGGAACGACACTCAGCAGAATGGCAGAGCTGCAGGACCAGGGATGGTGACCACTGTTGTAGACAGTCCCAATGCCTTTGTCATTTCCTCTGCTCATATGGGCGTGGCTCTCCACTCCTTTCCCTCAGTCAGAGCGCGGGGTTGATGGATAAACACGCTGTAGCGCACACCCTGGTTAGCAGCTGCGCGCACAAACCCGCTGTTGGCGGTCATGGTGACGGCTCGCAGTGAGTCTCCGGTCCCAAAGATCATGAGCGACCTGCGGTTCACCTTGGAGCTGGTGACCAGTCGCTGTGTGCGTTCTGAAGGCTGGTCAGGCACCACCGTCAGCCTGGCTAGAAGCTCCTCCGCTCGGGCCTTTTCTCCGGGTCCACCTAGCGTGTCCAAGATAACGCGGAAGTCATGAACCGCAGAATGACAGGCGAACAGCTCCTTGCCTTTCATGAACTCTTCAAGCTTGGGCAGGACCTTCTCCTGGCGCTCCTGAGCAGCCTGCTCCGTCAGCACCTGCTCTCTGAAGGTGTAGTGGCAGTTGCCATGGCTTAGAGAGGACACATACGTGATGAGCGTGGTGATGTCCAGGTTAGCTCTGTTGCAGACGTCCACCTTCACTTCAGTGGGGAAGGCCAAGCTGGCTACAATTGTGTCCCGATCCACACGAGTGTGCATGATGTCTGCATCTTCATCATCGCTGTCCTCGTCCTCATCTTCTTCTGCAGCTTCGTTCTCTGCCTCCAATTCCTCTTCCCCAGAACCACCATCATCCTCACCTTCATCTTCCTCATCCTCCTCTCCTCGCTCGTCATCTTCTCCCACTCCTACCACACTGTTCACCGCAACAATGTCACCCTTTACAGAGATTCCCATCTCTCTGAGCCTGTCTGCCATAGGACTGGACACACCATTGTAAAAGGCAAAGATGATGTGAGGATTGCTGTACTGGACTGGCTGCTGCCGGCTGGCCTCGAGGAAGTCTTCGGCCTGCCGGATTACACTTTTGTCCCCATACTGGCCTCGGCCCTGCCAGATGTTGTGCAAGGCTTCTGCCTTGCGTCCAATGGCTTTGACCCACGTGTGTCCACCATTGGCCACCACATCCACCACCAACGTTTGCTTCTGCCCATCAGGGCCCTCATAAGCAAACACGTGCAAAACACTCACAACATTCTCTAGACTTTCGGCCGACTCGACGATTGCTCTCAGGTGGGTGAGGTTGGTGCTCTGCAGATGAGACTCTTTAATCACAACCTTCCCTGCTTCCACTTTCTCTAGGAACTTGAGCTCAGCACGAAGTTTACTGCACAGCTTGGCACGGCCTTCCACCTCTCGGGCCTGGCGGCTGCACAGCAGATCTACTCGCTCTAGCAGCTCCTTGGCTGCTTTGATACGTTCATGGAGCATTGGGCTGGTTGCCATAGCTGTTGCATCATTCCTAGAGCATATAAGGGATAAAGATTTGAGTAGGAAAGTAGTACAATCTCAACACCATCACCATCAAAAAACTGAACTATAGGAGCCGTGAGTCACTATCACTCAGTATTCCTTTTACCTTGGTCAGTACTTATTTAGCAGAATGGTCACCTCTTTCTTACTAAGTATTTATCATGCTTTTTATGCTTCAGCAATGCTTAAATTCTACTGCCATGCTTTTGCCATACTAGGCAGCTCTGCCGGTATGTTTAGTTCCACTTTGGCGAAGAAAAGTGCAACCCGGCGCCATCTGTTGGTTGGGTACGAAACATTTTGTTTGCTATTCATTTTGCCATGGGGAAATGTTTTGATAACAGACTAAAAATCACTGGATCGTTTGTGAAACAGTCATTTTATGACCATTAAAAAACAGCAGCTAAGAATACAATATAACAGCGGAGTACTGAGCCACATAAACACCGAAACAACACTGAACATCAAAGGACTTTCCTGATTATTCATAAATTATTCAAAATAATTAAAGGGTTGCCATGTCAACAAAGTCATTCAGAGTGGTCTGATGTGAAAAGCCCTGTCCTGGAGAAACTTACTGAGTCAGAATTGTGCACTTCACAGAAAGTTATTACATGAAGTGGTTATGAATACACTGCCACTGTCTGAGACATTGTTTTACAGTAGTTTTGTGACAATGTTTTGGTCTAAAACATATATCCATTCACAGTGGAGGGATACATGCAGGGTGTTGTAAGGCAAAATAGTGTCCAAATAAAACTTATTTTTTCAGATTGGCCATTTTACCATGATCAACATTACATTAAAAAAAATCTCAGACAACACAGTAGATTCACTAGTGGGTTTGGACAGTGAATAAAATGGCTCTACTTGCATCGAAGACGTCAGGACCCACGGCTCCTGTCACCACCACTGTAAGGAAATCTGAGTCTGCAAGTTTCTCTGCAAACGAACCATTTCACATCAAACCAATCTGAATGACTGTTTATAGTTCAACCACCTAAGCATAATAAAGATAAGCTGGTTGTCCCCTTTAAAATAAAATAAAACTATAAAACCCACAGCTTCGTGACGGCGCAGCGGGTTGTGATGAGTGATAGCAACGTCACCCACGCGACAGACTTTGTAGTCCGTTAAGGGTCACAGTCATGAAAACTAATTTTTAAAGTCAATAAATGATTTGAAACACAAACAAAAATGTCAAATAGAACTGAACATAGAGGTGATAAGGCACATTCTGTTTCACAATCGGTGATGTTATCACCTATTAGGTCATTATTTTTAAAGTAACGTTACTGTGTTTTGAACGTAAACAGTAAGGGTCATTCTGACCATGTTCCTTCCCTATATGAACTAATTTTAATGGAAACCCGCATTTATTATATAAAACTACAAAAAAAAAAATTAAGCTCAATGCATTAAGCCTGTAATAACAGTAACGTTAAGTTTTAACACTACAACACCGCATTCAGATTCACGGGTGTTTACATTTCCTACTGTTTAGCGTCTAAAGTGGTCTTCTATGATAGCTGCCATCCCCAAACTTACTGTATTTATTCTCGATTTAAAACTACACCTTACTTCTTGGTTAAAAATAGTTAAACTGAACTGGTGAAATGAACCTCAACTCGCCGTGACGGACAGTTGCATCATGACCAAAACGTTAGTTGTAACGTTGCGGCTAAACATTAGCTTCGTTTAGCCTTGTTTAATTCTCCTCAGACGAGCTAATGGAGATGCTGACACCGCTAACAAGTGTTTAATGTCAGAGATAAACAGTTAAAGACACAATTCCGACGGTCAAAAGAATATCAGGTGAAAATTAGCCGTAAAAACTGAAACACTTACAGCAGAGTCACAACCACAACTTCAGTCCTGCGCTGGAGTCAGCGGAGTTAGCGGCAGGAGACTTGTTCTATGTGTAGGTGGAGCCGTTAGTGAGGGCGAGTGTCGCCATCTATGTTGGAGGAAAGGCATTGCAGTGACACGTACTTGCCAGACCGTGGCTGCGTCCAAAACCGCATACCACCACACTAAATAGCATGTCAAAAATAGTACACCACTAACAGAAGTCCGTTCTTTAGTGTAGTATGTGTAGTATAGTAGTGTGTGGTTTTTGTGACTTTGCAAGTTGGAGGTAAATAGCTGTTTAAGGCAAATTCTTAAATTGATGTAAATAAAGTAATTCAGAGTGGTTTGGTGTGCAATGCTCCATTCTAGCAAAACTTAGCAAGTCAGAGCTGTTCACAGTGGTGGTGATGGGAACCAGACATCCTAAGATTTTTAAGTGGAATTTCACCAATTTTCCAAAATGTCTGCACAATTCAGTGGTTGAGATAAACAAAGTCATTCCGAGTGGTTTGATGAGAAGTGGTTCATTTGTAGATTTCTATACAGTGGTGCTGATAGGAACCAGGGGTTATGATGTCTACAACACAAATATAGCCATTTATTTACCATCCAAAACCACCAGTGAACCTACACGTGTTCTGAGTTTATATATATATATATATATATATATATATATATATATATATATATATATATATATATATATATATATATATATATATATATAATGTTGAAGATGGTAAAATAGTGATAAATCTGAAAAGAGTTTTCTTTGGGGACTATTTTACCTTGGAACACCCTTCATGTATCCCCCCCCACCATGAATAGATTAAAATAAATTGATGAAATAAGTTTTAGGCCAAAACCTTATCACAAAAGTATCATAAAACAGTGTCTCAGACATCAGGCAGTGTATTTATAACCATTTCATGTAATAACTTTCTGTAAGGGAGCTTTTAGAGGTGGACGTCTGGTTCCTATCACCACTACTGTGAACAATTCTGATTGTAAGTCTCTAGAATGAAGCATTTCAGATCAAAGCATTTCAGATCAAACCACTCTGAATGACTTACAGGTTAACTATGTAATTATGCAGAAATTTTGAAAAATTGTTGTAGTTTCCCTTTAATGCCACTAAAAGCTACTTCACAGAACTTTATAACCTGAAATTGTTACAAATACACTCATTTACACTGATTTACAGTAGCTTTGAGCTAAACCTGTGGCCTAAAATGTATTATTTTTTTTTTTTACATATAGTCTTTATGGACCCTGCGGAAAGCACAGCTGGTTTGTGCTGGTCTGGTGCTGGTTTAGCTGGTCACTCAGCATGGTCATACTGGCTGACCAGCATACCAGCATTCAAAACATATGCTAGTTTTGCTGGTGACCAGCGTATTATCTCCCGTTGCAGAGAAGGTACATTAGAGTTTTAAGGCAAAATATTCCCCAAAGAAAACCTACATTTTTAGACTTACCACTATTTTACCATCATTAATATTAGATATAAAAACTCAAAAACGTGTAGGTTTACTGGTTGTTTTGTATAGTAAATAATGATGTATTTGTGTTGTAGGCTTTGCAACCCCTAGTTCCCTTCACCACCACTGTGAAGAAACTGAGGAATGTCTGTTTACATCGGAATGACTGTTTACATTTGAATTATGCAAAATAATAATAATAATAATTATTATAAATAATTACATTTTTTGAAGAATTATCTTTGAGGTGTAATCATTTGCCAGTAGCTTATTAAAAAAAAAAAAAAGATTTACTGATACTAAGCAGTACCACTGCAGTTTTCAGGAAACCTGATGCATTTTTATTCAAGTTGGTTTTGGTAGCTATTTTTACTTCTACTGTGCATATTTGTGAGCAATCTACATTTTACTCGAAGCCTAATTCTTGTTGTATCATTTCAGTCGGTGCTGTTGGTTCAGCTCCTGGAATGTTTCGTTGCTTACAGTTCTTAGTTTAGGCCTTTAGTGTTTTATATTGGACCAACAGGATCCCAAAAAGAGAAGAATAGGAAACTTTCATTTCTGTGCTGATAGATGCTGGATGTGGTAAGTTCCACTGCAGTTCTACAGGGAACTCAGAAAGTACATGGAACTGTGTGAATGGAAGTAATTACCACCCACCTCTGCATTTGGCAGAAATGTACCTGTCAGCACTGAGAATGATGTGGAAATGATGTCTGAAGACTAAAAAAAATCTAGTCTATTCAGGTCTGCAGAAAAGATAAACCTCAATATTAAGTCAGGTCTTGCAAACATAGTATTGTCATTGAGAATATTTGATCGGCGTGAGTTCTAGTCGGCTAAGGGCTGCCGGGGACCTGATTTACTGGAACATGGGATGCTCAACCCTTCCGGAAAACTTCACAACTAAACAAACTACATGCTTGACTTGACACGTAAACAAACTACACGCTCGACTTAGTGTAGCAGTAAGCCAACTGCTGTACAGACCTTAGCAAATGTATGGCAAAAGACCAAACGAGCTAGCAAAAGACTGACAGCATATTACACGTTTCAACATGTAAGAACACAAAAGACTGCAGTTTAAATTAATATTTCATAATATAACAACATAAAATAACATAATGTCATTTGGTTTGATTTTCAGTGCATTCAGCAACAAACTAGAGCACACATTCTTACTTTTTTATAAGAAACTTGTGGTCGTGAGGCCTCAGCTAGGTTAATTAGCTTTAGTGAGCTAAGCGGCTAGCCTTGCAAACCTACCAATACCAAATATTTTTTGGGAAGTTAGAACATGACATACATAGAATTTTAGAATAATTGCCTTGTCTGGCTAAAAACGTGGTGTAGAATCATTGTGTATTTCCTTTTGTTGTTGTTAGCTGTGTAGCCTTTAGCATGCTTACAAGCAAAGTGGCAGAGTAAAGTGATGAAGTTTCTTTTTTTTTACCTAAAGTTAGTTTGCAACTTTTGGGAGAGGCCCTTTGAAGTGTCTTATAAACTGTCTTTAGGGAACGAACATTCAAGTGCACTAGGAAAATATCTGCATTGGAACACCCCTGATAATGTAAACAAATTTGACTACGATTTCTTATGTCAGTTGGGTTCGTTTGCAAAGTGTTCTGGACAAACTAGTGGTCATGTTTGTCTCCTGCATTTTGAGGTGTCTTTTAATTAGGGAATGAGCATTCAAGCGTGCTAGAATAATTGCTACTTAGGGACTCTTAGGGACCTAAAAATGGCTGACTCCTCAGTTAGTTCAGTAAATACAGATGATAAAAGTATAATAATATGAAGTAATTTCAGTTCAGTTTCTTATGCCAGTTGGTTTGGCTTGCAGTGAGTTCTGGGACAAACTAGGGCTCATGTTTGTCTCCTGCATTTTGAGGTGCCTTGTAATTAAGTGCACTAATCTCTACATTGGGACAGTCCTGAAAGTGGCTAAATCAATTACTTCACTCCACACAGATGTCAACAAAATAATTACATAAACAAATTTGAATTAAAGCTTGAATTAAATGTTTTGTGTAATTTTGTTCAGTTTGCAGTACATTTGGAGCAAACTATGACACTTATTCACACATTTTAGGGGTTTTGTTGATAGGAAAGCCTTTAGGGAATGAGCGTTCAAGTTCCCCAGGAGAAGCTCTAGGCTACTTTGGGACACCCCTGAAAATGGCTGAATCCCCACTTAGTTTACTACATGCTTAAGATAAAATAATAATGTAAACAAATTTGAATTCCATTTCTTATGTCATGTGGCTTAATTTGCAATGCATTCTGGGACAAACTAACCTCTCCTGCATTTTGAGGTGCCTTGTAATTAGGGAACGAGCATTACAGTGCACCAATCTCTACCCTGAGACAGTCCCAAAGGACCTGAATCAGTTAATTAGTTCCCTCCACACCGATGTTAACACACACACACACACACACACACACACACACACACAGACATCTTCTAAGCCACTTATCCTCCTGGGTCACGGGGGTGCTTGAGTCTATCCCAGCTGTCATTGGGCGGAAGGCAGGATACGCCCTGGACAGCTCACAGATGTTAACAAAATAATTATATTACCAAATTTGAATTAAATCTTGAATTAAATGTTTTATAAAATTAGGTTTAGTTTGCAGTACTCTGGGGGCAAAATAGGGCACTTGTTTGTACACTTTGAGGAGCTTTGTCATTATGCAACTGGCATTAGGGAACGAGCATTCAAGTGCACTAGAAGAAGCTCTAGGCTACATTGGGACACTGAGTTTACAGTTAGTTCACTACAGAAGGGGTCGATTTGGGACACGCCCATCCAGTTCCAGCTCACAAACACGGTTTTTATGGACATGTAAACATTTGGATGCTTTGACAATGAATCCCAATCAGCAGCACTGACAACAGCAGACCAGCAGGAGGCGCATCAATGACTCTGAATAAGAGACTTTAGGGTGAAGTACAGATACAGGAGAGATTAAACCGACCAGACTCGCCCACAAAACGGTCCTCATGCGCAAAGGCTTTTTAAAAGAGTGTTTTAGTTTATATTTCTAGCGAATAACTGATAAAAAACAGTGTCTCTGCAGAGTTTTCGTCCTTCTGGACAACAGGGAGATCAAATAGAGTATTAATGAGGGTTTATATTGGCACCATGTCTCCTTATTATTATTATAACTGAACTTATCAATACTATTATTATTATTAGGCATAATCACTAGACTGTGCGCATGGTCGGGCCGGACGGGAGCGCGTGCGCGGTCCAGTCCTGACGCAACAGCTCCTAACTTTTTTTTCCCCCTTTTTTCTTTTTTTTTTGCATGCCTGCTTTCTATCCATCAGCCAAGAAGCACATTAAGGAACTTAGTATTTTTCGTTTTTTGTCCACGTTTGGAGACTTTTCCCCGTTTTTTCTTCAGTTTTTTTTGTAAAACCAGTCCGCTGAGCCGTTAAGGATGTCTTAAAGCGCGCAGCAGAGGATCGAAGCGGCTAACGGTGGAGTTTATTCCCTCTTTGCCTTCTTTTTCCTCCCCTTTCCTCGCCTCGGCTCCGCGTTGGTGTGTATGGACCGTGTGGAGGGCAGCAGCGGGTAGATTATGCTGGCCGCTGGGCACCATGGGGGCGAACAGTGGCAAGCAGAGCGGCAGCGAAGGTGAGCTGCTCTCTCAGCTTCTTTCAGCCCTGGTCGAGCCAGCCTCATGTCCTTCTTCTTCTTCTTCTTCTCAGTCTTAGTGGCCAGCAGAAAGCTTTGCCTGACTCTTTCTTCTGAGGGCTGTATGGTCAGACATGTCCATTCTGTGCACTGTGGTCAGGGTCAAATGGGTCATACAGTAAATGATGTAAGATGCGAGTCTTTTTCTTCCTTTCTGACTCTGTTTAGATGGGATTTGGTGTGTTACACTCAAAAAAGATGGTTCTTTAGGGGTTCTTTAGTAAAGGGAATGGTTTCATTTAGAACCATGAGTTCTATCTAGAACCCTTCCGTGCTTAAAGGGTTCTTTGCATGGTGAAATAGTTCTTAAGATTGTTCGAGAATGTGTTGTATATGGTTCTGTATAGCACCAAAAAGGGTTCTTCTATTGTTACAAGCTTGACATCGTAACAATGGCAGAACCCTTTTTTGGTGCTACATCAAACCCTTTTTCAAAAAGGTTCTATATAAACCATGTGCAACATATTCTCCTTCAATCTTAAGAACTATTTCACCATGCAGAGAACCATATAAGCATGCAAATGGTTCTTTGAGTGTTGATGGTTCTTTATAGAACTGATGTCTTTACTAAAGGACCCTTGTAGAACCACCTCTTTAAGTGTGTAAGCCAGCATCAAAAAAGGGTCATCTGTTGTTACAAGCTTGGCGTCGCCACAATAGCAGAACCCTTTTTGGTGCTAGCTTATTTAGAACCATTGTGAGCCTAAATGGTTCTTGGCATGGTGAAATGGTTCTTCAGATTAATGGAAAAGGTCTTGTTCATGGGGCTTTTGTATTGTTACAAGCTTGACATTGTAACAGTAGGAGAACACTTTGTAGTGCTATATAGAACCATTCTAAAAAGGTTCTATATACTATATATAACACATTCTCCATCAATCTGAAGAACCATTTCACCATGCAAAGAACAATTCAAGTATGAAATGCTTCTGTATAGAACTCATGGTTCTAAATAAACCCATTCCTTTTACTAAAAGACCCTTTAAGAACCATATTTTCTAAGTGTGTGGCTCAATGCTGGAGAGTTCGCTCTTTTGGTTGTACATTAGAAGCCGTACTTTAGGTTTTGGGGGTCCAGTTGGTGGATTGGGGGGTAGAGCAAACCAAAGACTGGAACTAAACATGCTAAAAGGTGAACGTTTTCTAGTGCACTCTTAAATAAGGGCGTTAAAAATGGTTATTTGGAGCAATGCCACAGAAGAACCCTGAAGAGCCTTACAGCTGATGAATGAAGAACCTTTTAAAGAACTATTTTTTAAATGAGGTTAAAAGGTTTTTCAGGTTTAAATAATATCCACATGAAGTAAAGGTTCTCTGCCAGTTCAATTTATTGTTCTAGAACCATACAAACCATTTAGCAACCATCATTGTTAAAGGGAAATTCCACTTATTTGTCAAAATTACTGCATAATTAAATCTACAAGATGTAAACAAAGCCATTCAGAGCGGTCTGATGTGAAATGGTTCATTGTAGAGAAACCTGTCCACTCTGATTTCTTTACAGTGGTGGTGATAGGAACCAGGGGTCATAATGTCTACAATGCAAGTATAGCCATTCATGTAATAAGTTTTTGTGAGGCATTAAACTCTTTGGACATCTGGTTCTTATCTCCACCACTGTGAACTGTTCTGATTCTAGAATAGAGCATTTCACATCAAACCCACTCGGAATGACTTTGCTTACATCTGATTCATTTAATTATGCAGCAATGTTGGAAAATCAGTGGAATTCCCATTTGAGAGTAGAGTTGTGATTGGAAGAAATCGAATCAGGCTTAAGGGGAAATAGGGATGCTTGATGATAATGGAAGCAAATTGGTATCAGCAATTGTTAAAAAATAAATTAGCATCGGAAGGATACTTAGGTTTGGCTTATAATTCAAACTAATATGTGATGCAATAAAATGCATGCATTTTATTAATTGTACTGCATTTGTAAACAAATACAAGTATTTTTTATTTCTCTGTAGTGCTAATCCATGTGGATCTAGTCCCAGTTTCTACATTTTATAAGCGTGTATGTGCCGGCATAGGCAGATGGGTACATAAAAAATACCAGGTATCAGAATCGGCCTAGAATTCCCATATTGGTGCATCCCAAGTAAGAAGTAACCATGTAATAGTCTCTAGGTGCTTTTTTTTTTAGAAAAGTCCTTGAAGAACCTCACCATACAGAACAGAATAACAGGCCAGATCTTTCTCTGAGCATCATTATTATATTACTTACAAGTTGAAAAGCACAAAGATCGCCTAAATACTTATTTAGTTAATTAAAGGGCCCATTTTCCTTGTATTTTATTTCTTCCCCTGAGGTCCACTTATACTAATTATGGTATTAATTTTGCATGTATGTGCTTATATCATGTATCAAAAATGGTCATAATTTATTTTTACATGACCTCACTTTATCCTAGATTTAACCCAAAATTTTATGACACACTTCTATAACCTATGAATAGCTTGACCAGTTTGTATTGCAGTCCCTGTAGTTACTGAATAGTAAGCCTTAGTATGTAATAAGCCTGGATTTTAAAGGGTTAAAGAGGCTGCTTTTGTTACTGTGCCTTTAAGACTGGTATGTGTAAATGATCTGTTCCGATTGGCTAAAACACTCTTCATAACTTCACTGTGAATGAGCTAAACTGCTGCATGCTGAACAGGCCGGTATATATGTAAATGAGTTGGTTCTTGTGACATCACAAAAGCGGTCAATTCAAAACGGCCCTGTAGTTCCCATAAATGGACTATATGAACTAGGGAACCACGTTTACATATTACATCAAACTTGTTATTTTAAAAAGCAAAGGGAATTCAGGTTTTCTATGATGTGGACTCTTTAATAGATGTTATTATCAAGTATGGTTCATCTGTGGTGATGAACTTTCCCAGCATTGGGCTCACATTTTTGTGATGTTCTTAGTGTACCTGAGCCAGGTCTCACACCTAATGCAGGTGATAAGTAGCAGGTGTGTTCGGAGAAGAATAAAACCTGGACTGGCTTGTGCAGGACTGAGTTGAGAATCTTTACATAAGGGCTACACTACAAGGTGCCCAGCTCAGGCCTTGGAGGGCCTTTATCTGTCACAGATTGGAGATTCCTCTGATGCACCTGATTCAACTCAGCAGTTAGTTACCAGTAGGGGTGGACAATATGGCAGTATGTTATGGCAGTAAGATTTAGATAGCTTGTAAACAACAACCATGAGTTTATTTAACTGCATAAACTGCATAGTAACAAGAAGCTGATTGGATGTCAGCCCATTATGACATCATCAGATTATTTTCATTTATTTTTTACCAATAAGACAAGTCAGTGTAACGTCCTGACAGCAAAAAAGTACTTCTGGATGGACAACGCAGGTGGTGCTGCACTGGTATAACAGATTACCTAATTCTGGGAGTTATTAACCAAGATATTGGAAAAAAAAGAAACTCGTCTCCCCAGATTGACGACTTCATGACTTTTTGTGGTGAATTTTTCTCACATAATCATGAATTTGCAGCGGCTATATGTTTCATTGCAGTGTTTAATAAAAAAAGCATTCACTTTATAAGGGTGTTTTCACAGCACATTTAAAACCAACAGCTGACCCAAACATGAACCAACTGTACTTTTGGTTCTAGTTGTAGTTTATTTTCCATCTGCTTGAGAGAACTGTTGTATATTAACCACGATTAATGATTTAATGGTCTTTGTGGTCATTTTATGTCCCTCTAAAGAGTCTAGTTTGGCTGATTAGGTACGTTGCTTGCCACTAAGCTTATCCTATACAGAAATCCGATATATGGCAATAATTGGATTACAAATATTGACATTTATTAGCATATAGGGATTTCTTTTATTGCCTTATTTTGTGCCATATATGCCAACTTATTTAAAATTGGCCATTTTCAAATATGGGAAATATATTTTAGCTGTATATCAACATATACAGTCATATTTGTGTAACACATGTATTTAACAATATATATGATAGAAAACATTTATATATGAATGTCATATATTAGTCATATATGCTTCATGTTATATCCACATACTTTCTAATGAAGTGAAAATTAGTGTAATAGCAACATAAGTACACTCTAAAACATGCACATGGTAAGTTATGCAATTACATCATTAAAACATTAAATAACTGAAAATATCGCTGTTGTCGGAAGAAAATCTCATATCTCCAAAATGGTAACTTTACAGGAAAAAGAAAAAACCTACTTTACTTTTAATGTAAGTCAATGGAACCAGACTTTTTTCCAAGTCATTTTGGGTCGTTTCTTTTGGTCTATTCTTCATGAAATCTACACACAACGTAAAGGGCAACATTTTCAAATGATGTCAGAAACAGAAAAATGACAAAAATGGAGATATGAGGTTTTCCTCTGACAGCAGCGATATTGTTCTTTGACACATTTCAATATTAAAATCTTAACAGATGACGTAGTATCACTTATAACTGTTTGGGGATGCATATGTTTGATGCATATGTGAAATCCATATATTATGCATGTATGTTCAATATTTGATACTTACATATGTGTACACAACATATTTATATATAAATTAAAAAAAGAAATTGTGCCTGATCCGCTTGCATATATGTGCATATTTGGCCATATATCAGATTAACGTATGAGATTGGCTGATATGAAACCATACCCTGCACTATTCTGTGCACTATTCTCACACAAATGTCTACATTTACACAGAATCAAGTGTGGAATCATACAAAGCTTACATTTAAACACTTGTTCTGTGGCTGCTAACATAAATGCGAATAGCATTAGCTTTATAACAAGCTTATGTCAGCTTATGTCGAAATAAAAATTCAATCAACACATCAACATACCATCCTAGGTTACATTCAGTTGCACTTATTGGTCGTGTAATCGTGCTTGGCAACTTCTCTTCACCTGGAAAAGTAAAGGATTCGCTAAATTGACGT